ACACACACACACACACACACACACACACACACACACACACACACACACACACACACACACACACACACAGGCATCATGCATACACAAGGATGGGAGGAACAAATAAAACAGGAGGGGGAAGAGGTGGTGGTGATGGGGTGATCACAGTGATTTTGAACTGCTAAGCAACAGAGCTGTACTCCATCTACCCCCCCACCACCCACCTCCCCTCATCTCCTCCTCCCCCTCCTCAACATAGAGGCAGAGCAGACCACAGAAGAGGCAGGGCAGACTAAATAATTAAGAGCAGGAAAAGAAGCAGGTAAGGGTGGGGTGGAAATAAAAGGGAGAAGAGCCATTGACCAACTGCTTTATTCTGTCTCTCCGGCTTGAAAAAAATTAAAATAAAAATMTGTGCAGCATTCTTCTTTGATGGGTATACTACATTACAAATAATAAAAAAGAACTTCTATTTTTTTTGTTCCCACCTCTTACATTCTAACACCACACCACACACCCGCTGTGTTCTTCATTTTCCTTCTGTTACTCAAACAGCGTCTGCCAACTTGATGCAGATTTGTTAAAGTTAAAGCAAATTTTATTAAAAACAAACAAATAAATAAGTCAGTAAGTGCTGTGACAGTGGTTAGGTTTGCAATGATTCATATATGAAACTAGAAAAACTCACACTCGTCCTACTACCACGTGACTGGAGGATAAGCGCACATACAAGGCATAAGAACTGTCACCAGCCTAGTTTCATTGCTGCCATATGCTCCCCACCACCACCCCCTCCCACCTATAGAGAGAATATGGCCACACACACACACACACACACACACACACACACACACACACACACACACACACACACACACACACGAGTGAAAAGAGGAAGAACGATGCTTCCATCCCCAGAGTGTAAAATAGGTTCATCAGCTTTCAACCTGCACTTCATTAGCAGCGCTGATTTTCACTTCCTCGCCRTGTTGGGGTGCGTGTGCTGAGATGATGATGGGGGGTCGGGAAGGGGAAAGGGAGGTTGCAGGGACAGAAACCGAGGGACAGAGGAGGTAGAGACAGAAAGAAAGTGCAACAACACAGATAAAAAGGGAGAATCCTGTTTCAGTAGCAAGCTCAGTATGATTAATGTGAAGCTCCTTTCTCCATCGCCTCCTCTATTACCAGTCCCCATTCTCAGTGACTACCTCCACACTTGATTGCTCAACCTTAGCCACAAAACACACACATACACACACACACCCAGCAGTAGCAATAAACAAACCAACTAATCTGCAGTCAGAGGCTACGGCCAAGTGTTCTTGCTTTGACAACACCTTTTACTTAAGCTACTGACCCAGTGAAAAAGCTACTCCCCAGCCCCGGAAAAGAAAAACAAAACCTGCCACAGGTCTTCAGTGAGCCCTTTCACGCACACGCTGACCCTGCTGGTTGTTGACAGGATGACAGGACCACACAAAAATGTTTTTTTTTTTTCGGGATGCCTGACCCCTCCCGATCCTCTACCACCACCATCACCTCTGTTGAAACAGCCGAGCAGACGTCTCACCCCGTGGGTGAGTCCACTTCTCCTCCACCCTGCCGGCACACCCGCCTCGCCTCGCCCCACACCTCCTCCTCCTCCTCCTCCTCCTCCCTCGCAGCATGCATTACAACAACATCAGCACTTAATTAAACAGTCCATTTCACACCTGGTGTGCATAGCGGTGCCCAGCCAGCCCTGCATCCATATGCCACCCCACCAGCGCAAGCCTCAACACGTGCACGGTGCACCCAGCACACACACACAGAGCCACACAAACGCTGCACACACCTGCTACCACAGTCTTGGACATGCACTGACAACACAACACAAAGCCTGTAATCTGCATCACTGGGTTGGGGGAGGAGAGAAGCACACACACACGCATACACACACGCGTGCGCACAACACAGTGTGTATTGCTGTGCCAGTGGAAGAAAGGAAGACCGTACAAGATGGCGGATGAAAAGAGGAGCAATCCTGTGTGCCTCCTGCCGACGGTACAAACCGTACATGACGCTTGACYGCAGCTTCATTTTGGATCAGACTCATGATAAGTGTTCAAATTGCTGAGCACAGAAAAACAGAAGGAAGGTAAAGGAAATGAGCTTGTTTGTGAGTGTTTCAGGGACAGTCACGGCCTAAAGGGTTTTTGCCTTTGAGAAACACACACACACACACACACACACACACACACACACACA